GTTCAGGTCTTGGTAGTCCCTTTTCAAAGCAGTCACTTCCCCGACCCTCACTTCCAAGTGTAGGCGGGGCTCCTCTACCATTTGTGTGCTCCCTCAGTGGTCAGCGCTCTTCCGTCATAGCATCTGGCCCCTTGTAAAGGTCTGTTTGCCCATCTGTATCTTCCTTTACAGAAGATAGCTAAGGGTAATCCACAGCATCTCGTACAGCACATGACACATAATACATGCTACACCGGTATAAGGTCAATTAATCAAGTGTTGCTCCGTAAAGAGTACAAGAATTGAAGAGAAACAAAGCAACAGCAATCTTGTCCTGAATATTTCCAGGACATTCCTTATGCATATTACAATACAAATAAGACAGAAGGTCCAGCAGCTTCAGGAGACCTTTCAACTCTGAGTCCCAAGGAGCCATTGCAACTTAGTACCAAAATAAAAATGCTCCATTTTCTTCAAAATTCACAAATGAGAATTGGCTGAAGTTCCCCTTGTCAAGTAAAGGGTCCTGCCACATAGGCTCTGCTCACCTGATGTCACATCTGATGAATGGGAAGCTTCTGAAGTTTTGCTTTCTAGCGCTAACTGCTAAAAATTATTTCTTCTTAGCCTAATTAACGGCTCTCTAGTCTCTACAAATAGCACCACAGCCATGAATTTGTGTGTTCATCTACTCATACGCAGTCTTTTCTTTAGAACTATGCAATTTACAGGGTACCTGGGTGGCTCAGATGGTTAACCATCTGCCTTTGGCTCGGGTTGTGATCCCGGGGCCCTGGGATCGAGCCCCGCATCAGGCTCCCTGCTCAGTGGGGAGCCTGCTTCTCCCTTGTCTCTCTCTCTCTCTCTCTCTCATGAATAAGTAAATAAAATCTTAAAAAAAAAACTATGCAATTAACTAAGGCCACCCTTAATTTAGCAGTATCTCTCCAAGTTTAAAATGCATATACTCTTTAAGCCAGCAAGTCCCACATCTAGGAATTTCTTCTACAACCCTTAAAAAGAATGATATGGCTCTATGGAAACGGCTATCAATCTCCAAGATACATTAACTAAAAACAGCAAATTTTGGAAATGTGCAAGGTGTTTTACCGTTTGTGTAAAAACGCACACCCATCCTTGTGTGTGTACATGCCCACAAAATATGTAAACACAATTATAAAATAGATAACAAAATAGGTAACAATCTAGAATAGTCAATTTCATAGAAATAGAAAGTGGAAGAAGGGTAGTGGCCAGGTGGGGGAGGGGGAACAGGGTGTTAGGGTTTAATGGAGATGGTTTCAGTTTTGCAAGATGAGAAGGGTTCTGGAGATACATAATGGGACGGTTGCACAAGAATATACTTAATGTCACAGAAGTGTACGTGTAAAAGTGGCTAAAATGCTAAATGTTAGGTATATTTTACCACAATCTAAAAATTACACCCAGGTGCGTGTGCACGGGCACACACACACATAATTAATAAGAAACTGGTAATGATGGCTGCCTCCAGGGAGAGAAATGGATATTTGGGGACGGGGTGGCAAGTAGCTCTTTAACCATATAACCTCTTACACAACCTTTTTTGTTCTGTACTATATACCCATTTTAAAAAGTTCATTAAAAAAACCCAGCCTATACAAGAAGCTTTTTCTTAATTATAAATCATTTATATCCTTTATTAAGTAAAAAATATTTTTCAATCCAAATCAGGATTCCATTTCAGTTTTAAGGTTATTTATTAGATTTAAATGATGCAAGCTGCAAAAAATTACTTTTTCCCTAAGAATATATTCACCAAAAGCCTGCCTTTATTTTTATGAGCTATTACAGAAATGCTTCAAAATCATCAAAGAAGAAAATTACCATTTTTATCAGTACACAACTTTTATCCCATCACAACCAAGCTAGCTGAATATAGAACTGTTTCACCAGCAAAAAGCCCTCATCATAATTCAAGACAAAAATCAGCCTGCAATTACACGAGTTAGGAAACAAACAACGCTTATGTTGCAGTCTACCCTAAGCGCTCACTTCTGTGTCAGAATCTAAAACACACATGCGCACGCACGCATATATGCACGCACATGCACACACACCCTCTGGATTCCTCCTAGTTTATCCAAAACCTACTTTGTGAAGATCCACTATTTTCTCGAGTCTTCTGGAATGAGCACTGGAGCCGTTGCCACTGGTACTGCAGCCTCTTTGGCCCCGCCCAAGTCAAGGAGAAAGCGACACTTGCAGGGCCCCAGACTGCCTCTACCTTGAATCAGGGGCTCCAGGACTTGTTGGGGGAATGAACAGATGATTATATGCTGACCAGCTAGCCATCAAGTCTCACAAAGAAAAACTTCAGAAAGAAAATAGTAAGAGATGCTTTGCTCACTCGAACTCAAGTCTAAAAGTGAAGACTTCACTAAAGCTGGAGACGAGGGGACTGCCTCACCGAACGGCTATGACACAACCGGCTAAGTGGGCTCTAGACCTCATCCCGACCCAAAGCTCCACATGAAAGAGGCGTTTTTATAACCATATGAAAAACAGGAAAACTTACCTATAATTCTTTTGTATGTATCAATATAGTACATCAATCTTTTTTTAGGAAGAAAAATATACGGATGGATATTGATATGTTCTTAAGGTAGGAAAGGACTAAGTATAAAAGCGAAAGAAAAAAACCTAACAGAAATTTTGTATATCAAGGAAGACAAGCAGAATCAAAAGATATACGACAAGGTAGAAGAAGTATCTGCGTGATGACAGAGGGTATCCTTGATACATTACGAGTTCTTACAGATCAACTGAAGAACTAATACCCTGACGGAGCAGCGAAGGCAGGACACCCACAGGCAAGCAACTCCCAAAGGCCAAGTACAATGGCTGCAGACGCTGAGGCCCGGCCCCAGGAGCGGCCCGAGGAGCACAGATTTAAACGATGGGCATCCAGTTCTGGGAAGGTGTGGGAAGAGGCACTTTCTCATACTGTCATGGGAACCACGACAGCCACTTTAGGAGGCGACGTGGCGGCACCCTCAGCAATTCCGAGTCTAGGCGGCTGTTCTTCGGAAAGACTGGCGCATGTGGAAGTTCATCCAGCAGCATCTTTAATAGTGAACCGCCGGGGAAGTCAACAGGGGGACAAGGCATGACAGTAAGTCGGCACCAGATCACACCGCCACTTAACAGAAACGAGGCAGAGAGAAATATATCACAAGAACAGATGCAAAATATGTATAGTATCATCCTCATTTTGTTAAAACACAAAATGTGCACATCTGTACAGCCTGAGAAGACTCAGAAGGACCTGCATTTATAGTTGTTACTCTGGGCATCGCGAGCATGGAGAGTAATGGTGAGCTTTCATCTTTTCACATGGTATACTTTAAAATGGTTTGTTTTCTATAAAAGCATGCATTATTTTTATAATTTTTTTAAAAAAGGAAAAAAAGAAAAATAATAAGATAAGAAACTTATCTAGTAAAGACAGGTTCTTTCCTTGCAGAATTCCCTTCAGTTTCTTGAAGCTCAAATGGCTGTGTCTTTCCCACTTGTAACAGATATTTTTCTAAATATCTCTTCCTTTCTACATGTCTTAGAAGAAACTATATAGACTGACCACTGCCTGTTTTATAAAATCCATTCATAATCTGAGAAAAAGACTATGAAAAACATAAACCACCCTCAGGCCTCACATCTACCAGAAGAAATGCATTCACTGCCATGATACATTTAGTCCACACCATCTCTGAGACAATGCACAAAGCACCAGCCACACAACTCCCACCAGCATAAATATGTGGTGTACAAAGGACGTCCTGTCAACAGGGCCCAGAGTACACCCCACAGCAATAAAGCAGAAATGACAATTTGAGTCACAGGATCGGGACTGGAACCAAATTTGGGACTTGGAGGCAGCGCAATGCTCCTCACTTCGTTCCACACCTTCTATTTTCCCTCACCCCAGCCCTGCCCTCACACAGACCTCTAACAGGCCATGTTAGGGATGGCCACAAAGCTTTAGACTCAGGTGTCAGAAACCACCAGGGAGAGACAACAAAGTGCTACCTGGGGTTCTCAGCCGGAATCACAATGGCAGCGTATGCGTAAACTCACATTTTTTCTTAGGAAAAGGAATGGAAAAATTCAATCAGTACGCTCTGCCTTACCACATGGAATTTTGAAATCCAGGTGTCAAAACATCAAATGTGGAGTGACCACTGATTTTAAAAAAGCTTGAAATACTGAGCCTGACAGTTGAGAATTAAGGAACCACTCATTTTTACAAAATTAAATCCCACACAATGGCACCAAGGTGGCCAAAAGTGTAGCTTATAGAGCACCTGAGTGTCAGACCTCATATGGCTTGGATCCTCAGCTCTTCCAAAGGCACTCATTCTACTCTAGAGTCTCAAGAGCCAGACCCGTGTCTGGGTGCTCTCTTTAGTTCCCGTGGGAGGAGGGTAGCAAGCACAGCCATTAGCCGTGCGCTCTGTGGTTCTGTGACAGCTTTCAGGAAGCCATCCTTCTAGGGGGCCGCACACCAGTTCCCGTACCTGAAAATGTTTTACCACTGCTCACTAACATTGACCAGGAAGTCATTTACCCAAAACCAAAGCAAACAAAGCACCACGCTGAAGACCGCTAGGCAACAGCAGCAGTGGCAGGTGAAGAGCTCACTCAGAGCGCCCTCGGCTCAGCTGACCTGCTTCAAGGTGAACTGAAGTTGCAGATCACCAGTTCCGGCTCTAATCTGACGCCCGCCCCCAGATCACGCTGTGGCTACCAAGTAACCCTACCCAAACTGACCTTTCAGGGCTCAGGGAAGTGACTTTTTTTTATTATATGGCACAGTTTGGCACAGTTATAGCTTTAGTCTTTGGGGTACTTTTATACTGTCCAAGAGTAGTACATCTTTTTTTTTCCTTGTTTTTTTTTTTTTTTTTTTTTTTTTTTTTTTTTTTAAAAAAATGTGCCAAAACAGGGAAATATTAAAAAAAAAAAAAAGGAAGGTTACTTACCTGAGCCCTAACATTCCAGCTACCATGGAATCCTGTTGGAGCTGGTCTACAGAAGCAAGATGTATTCTGGGGAGTCACATGTCACATCAAAGCAGGAACTGGTGAGTCTGTATTTTTATGGAGCCTAAAACAAAGAAAATCGTAAGTTGAAAGCCCCCATTGTGCTGCACGACCTTTTTCCCAGGGCTATTTGGGACATTTTGAAGATAAACATATAGACAAAGTACTATGCTATTTCCCAGCTTACCTACTAGAAACAAAGGATAAACCTCAAATTCCTAGCACATAACACACATGCTAAAATAAAGATTCATGTGTGTTAGAACCGACACTATCACAAGTCACCTCTGAGGGACACTTTGGCACTATAAAGCGTACTGTCAGCAGTGATCCCTGGTAAGTATTTCTTGCACTACGTCATACAGAAAGGCTCAGGGAGAGAAAACATGTTCAAGAAAACATTCGACATCAGAATGTCATCCAAAAAAGAACACATGAAATCCAGAGGCAAAGTCTCCCTTCTTTTTCAAGCAGCTGAATTTGAAATGAGCTGCTGTAACATCACTTACAGGAGCTTCAACCCTGAGGGGGCGGGGGAAGCAGCACCAACAGAAACCATACGCCCTGGGAGATCCAAAGCCCTCCTCCAATATACTCAAGTCTGTTTCAGAGCGATCACTTTTAAGCCTTTCAGATCAGTTAAATCACAATGCTCAACAAAGTTATTAGTTTGATAGTTTCTCTTTTGCTTTTGAATATATTCAAAAGAAGACTTCTGTCATTACATTTTTCATCAAGATAACATCATGTCCTTGTTAAAATCTAAACTGCCCCGTATTAGCTAATCTCTGGTTAGCGTGGGGCCCAAGAGCAGCACTTCCACCTTTACACTAAAAAAGCCTCCAGTATACAATTTAGAGACTATTCACACTAACAATTACTCATGTAATTAGACCCAGAGGAAGGGCAACACCAACCAAGTCTTCTACAGTTGGTCTATAACTACTGGGATGGTACCTAGAACTATCTATTGAGGTGCAGTGAGGCCTTACAATTCCCTTAAACAGTGGAGTCATAGAATACTTTGAAATCCAGAAGTCAAGGTAACAGTACTACTCAGTTAGCTATAGAATAAAAATCAAACCAGTATCTTGGCTGGGAGGCCCTGGCAAAGCTACAACTTCTCAGAGCATGGTTTTTTACTTGTAAACTGAGGGAGCTGGACTAAGGTTCCTTCCAGCTCTGAAATTTTAAGATCTTTGATTAACTCAAGATTTCACGGAAAAAAGAGCAAAGCAAATGAAAGCAGGTAAGTAAAAACCCAGTGAAACAGTAATTTGCAGGTTCATATATATGATGTCCCCAGCTCCTAGGCAAGGAAGACAAGTCAACCCTTCCTAAGGCTTGCTCCCCGGAGTACAGGCATCTGCAGGAACTGCAGAACAGCCATGCTGAGGACACCTTCACGTGCCAGCCGACCCAGTAAGTAAGCCCCGAAGAAGTTACGAAGGCCAAGGCTTTATTCTTGAGTAGAATGGCCACACACACCCCTTCGATATGGGAATGGGGATGCCCTGCCTGCCACCAAATACCCACTCCCACTCAGACCCCCCCCAACACCATACCTACCATCCAAAATGGCAGAACCAAGTATTTAAGTAATGGCATGCAAATCAAGATTTCAATAGGAAAAGGTTCCTTGCAAGAGAAAGACAGAAGAGAACAGATAAAGGCAGAAGAGCATAACTTTGTGTAAGTGAGCCCGAGGAAGAAGAACCCATTCACATCTGTCCTACTGGAAACGAGGAAAAGGCACAGTGGTGACAGCGGTGACAACAGCAATCTGACTGGAGAAGGCTGGTACAGAAGAATTGAGACAAGGTCCTTCCGTTGAAGCAGAAATAATGCTCTGCCCAAGAAAAGAGACAGACTGTGTCTGCCGGCCACATGAGGCCGGTCTGCACGCATGTTACTGCAGCAGAGGGTAGTGAAAACAAGCAGGTGTCCTGCTGCGCTGCCTGGGACTTGCCACCAGTCCAGGACTGTTTGCCCCCATCCCTCCATCCCCATGTGCTTAAAAAACTACAATTGATCCTTGAACAACACAGGTTTGAACTGTTCGGGTCCACTTACATGCAGATGTTTTTCAGTACAGTACTATCAATGTATTTTCTCTTCCTTAAGATTTTCTTAATAACATCTTCCTTGTTGTGTTTAAGAATACGGTATATACTACACATAACATACAAAATATGCATCAATCAACTGTTTCAGTTAATAATAAGGCTTTCGGTCAACAGTAGGCTATTGGCAGTTAGATCTGGGGGCGGGGAGTCAGAAATTATACGTGGATTTTCAACTGCACGGGGGTGAGAGGTCGGGGCCCCTAATCCCTGCATCGTTCAAAGGTCAACTATAGTCACTACGAATGTCAAACATTTTCTGGGATTCTCTCCTCATAGATAACTCAGGTAGCCTGGCGACAAACTGCCTTAGCCAATTAAAAGATTTCTAGGAAAGGCATTTTGCTTTTTTATTTTCTGTAAAGCCAATTAAAAGATTTCTACTGACAGTCACCTTTATAAACGATGACAGGTTCCAGGACACGTCATTTATCATGCAAATAGTCCCCGGCAGGTGTGTCAGCGGTGGAAACTGGACTGTAGTAAGGAACTAACAATTTTGCTTTTGCTCTTCTCTATTTCAGGTGAAAGAGTGCCCACACAGGGGATGGAGTATTCGGGTGGAGGCAACATCATATTGGACTTATCTAGCCAAACTCCACAGCTTCTTTTTGTTAAACTCCACAGTTTGCCACTCCACCCCTTCTAGCTGTGGCCACACAGAGGCAGGGTGAACGGAAAACAATGACTCTGGCTAGAAATTGCAAAGAGAACACAAAATTGTATTCCAACCCTCCCAATACATCAACAGCACAAAAGTCAGAGTAGAGTTTGACTGCATCATGCTCTATTGGGTGAAATAAAGACTTGGTACTGTGGCTCTAAAGCACTCCGGACACATCTGTAACAAGAAACAGGATGCCGTGAGAGCCCACGAAGCAAGAAAGCTGCAGGTCTCTTCAAGCTGTTAGAACATACTGACTTCAGATGCCACCAGGCACTTTTCAGAGAAACTACGTTCTGGAAGCTGCCTGTGCTGCTTAAAAGGCTAGAGGTATGATGAACAGCTAAGTGGAGGGGCACTCGAGGAGGCAAGTGCGTTGCCAATGATGCAAAACAAAGCAGAGTCCTCGTCCTGGCACGTCATAGGCCGAGATGCACAAACCTTGGAATCTCTGTCAAGTGGGCTTGTGCGAGTGTGTGGCTAGGAAAGTCCCTCAGTGATCTGCCACCAAGCCGACATGCCACCAAGCTGACGTGCCACAAACGGGTATCTGTAACAACTGATTTAACCAACTGTACTCTACTAGATGGACTGTGTCCCTGAAGGTTCTCATGTGTCCGGGTAAGAAAATAAAAGCAAGTGTTTCCCGGGCTTCCTGACTGGCATTTGAAATAGAAGTCATAAAAGGTCCATAAATAAGCCTATTCCCTAAAGCCCAGGTGGAAATTCCTAAAAGACCGAAGAAACCTAGATACCGTTCTTTGTTTGTTCGTTCTTGTTTGTTTTTTAAAGTAAGGATCCAGCAGATATCAAAAGACACAAGAGGTCAGCTTACTCTTCTTGTTAACTGAAGTTGCTGAGATCCAGATGAAAATTCTGGCCATGAAACACAAATTTCTTCTCAAGTAATAATTGCCTATTAACACTGAATTTTACTACCACGGCACAAATAAGCTTCATTTTTCTGGTATAACAAAACACCTAAAACTTGTGAGAGTCTCCCAAAGTCTAAGCCACTTGGCATCAGGCGCTGCTAGATTTGCTTCCACCATCACCAACCACCCCCCCCCCCGGAATTCAATCCTACCATCTCACAATTTGGGGTACTGATCCCCCACAAAACAGAGACACAATGTGTGAATGGCTCTGCAGAGTCCATTCCTGTTCCTGGAAAAAGAACCAGAGGCACACATCTGCCTGACCATGAGTCAGGAATATCACTTTTGTGGTGGAGCCCATTTCTGCTGTGACCAATCCACAACGAACACACTCAACACAGGCGACCACCACAGAGGTAGGTATTCCAGAGCAAGCTTTCCCAATCTCAGGTCCACTCAGCAAGGTTATAAACGGTCTCCTCTGTGAAAGCAATTTTTTTAGACTCTTTACAATGACATTAAGTCTTCAGGGCAAAACCAAAGTAACATTGCCACACCATGTAAAAGTCACCTGAGTTTCAGTGTGGGCAATTCACTTATAACCAAACTAAAAAGAAAATAAACTTTCAGGGGGCAAATGACAGGAACCACAGCGATGCGATGCACTTGCCCCATCTGGTAATGATGATCTTGAGCAGGGCGCGCTCCAGGACTATAGAAGCCGGTTACATACTATGTCCCACTCCACTTATGTAACTAGAAGATCTCCGGCGAAGGGGGGCGGGGAGGATGGGAGGGCGCTCACATTCTGAGGCCACGGAACCCCCAAAGACCCTGGGGGCGCACTCCCACCGAAGAGCCTCCGGTGCTCCCGGACACACAGTCCCCTATCTAAGGTTCATGATGGGAACTATAACCGCCTCTTTATGATGAGTTGTGGGACCAGGAACACAACGTCTAGTCCCTTTTGTGGGTGGGCAATAATTCCCACCTACTTTTCCTGCTGGAGGAGAGAGGAGATGGTGGACCGACTCGCTCGCACTGGGGGCAGAAAGTCATGGAATGGGCGAGAAGGAGGGGGAGGCAAAGCCTGGAGATGGGGGTGAGAACGCAGGAGCCCTTGTGGCGCACTCTCCCGACGGGAGGCGGACTGCGCACGCGCGCTGGTGGGGGGGCCGAGTAACGGCACAGGGGGCGCGCGAGGGAGGGAGAGGGGAGAGCGCGATCCAGGGAGAGGCCGGGGCGGCGGGCGCGCGACGACGCCGCGGGCCCGAAGCCCCGAGAAGGGCACGACGCGCGCGCAGCCCCGACAGGCAAAACCCCGGCGACAGGGGCGCCCGCGGGGCCGGGGGCCGGGATGCGCGCCGGAGGCGGGAGGGAGGGGGCGCCAGGCGAAGTCGGCCCTGGACGACCGCGCCGAGGACGGTCACCGCGAGTGCGGGTGACGGGCCGGGTGGGGGTGAGAGAGCCGTCACCGGCGGCGGCGGGAGGGGGAGGGTAGAGAGGAGGGACGCCATCCGCCAGCCGTGTCGCCCGACCCCGCGGGCCCCTCCCGCGCCTCGTCCCGCCCCTACCCTCCGCCCCCCGGCAAGGGTCCCCGCCCGCGGCCGCGGCGGTCCCACTCACAGTCTCTCCTCCTCGCCTCCTCCTCCTCCTCCGCTCGGCGCGGCAGCGGCGGCGGCGGCCATTTTCCGGACGGCTTTTACCACAGCCCTCTCTCGGAGAGGAGGGAGCGCGCGCGCCGCCGACGCCGGGACCCCGCACGGCCGACGTCGCGCCCCGCCCTCCCGGCCGGCTTGCGCGCTGCTGCACCTGCGCGCCCGCGCCCCGCCCCCGGCACCGCCGCGAGCCCTCCCGCCATTGGGTGCGGCGGCCAGGGTGGGGCGGGGTCTCGGTGACGATGCTACCAATTGGCTGGGGTTGGTGTCCATTCCCGCTAGGGAAAAGTGGGTGGAAACCCTGCCCAGCTCCCGATTGGTTGCCATCCACCGTCATTTGGGGGAAAGAGGCGGCTAGGGCGCGGAGGGGCTGGTTTAGTGGGAGGAATTTGAATATTAAGGATTAATGGGCCCTTGCGGATGCTGGGGCAAGTGAAGGCCTAGGCTCCGCACGCGTTTTTTGCGTGGCCCTCCTGGGCCGGTGACCCGCTGTACACAAACGCACAAACTACGCTGCTGTAAGAGTTTCACCGCACCTGTATTTTCTCAGTGTCACCACCTTCACTAGGAGCAGCAAACTTGCCTAGCCTGGAGCCTGACGTTGTTCCAGACAACCGACCTTCGTTTCAGGGCCCTACCCGTTGCATTCTTTTCCATCTGGGCCTGCCGTGTGCCCGATGCCCTATGCCACACTCTCACAGGGTCAGGGAATAAATAACAAAACACAGCCGTGGTCTTCCTGAAACTCTGGTGGGAGAAGACTGTGCATGGCCAGGCTGCACCGAGATCTGTCATTGTATCAGATGCTTTGGTGGAGGTGTGGAGAAGGGGCAGTGAGAGCACAACAAGGAAGCAGCACTTAGTTCTGCCAGGAGGGGAGAGGGAACACTTGCTAGAAAAGGTGATTTGTGAGCTAAGATCCAGCAATTCTGGGTCAGAAAAATATTTAGGAGTATGGGAAAAGTTTTATCCAATAGGGTGTGCAGGACAGGACTATTTCTCAAGGCAACCTTAATCGTATTCCACCTATCTAGTTCATCCAATGCTCCTTGTACTGGTTCTGTGCTTAACAAGGAACCTTCTAGGGGCGCCTGGGAGGCTCATTTGGTTAAGAAACTGCCTTCGGCTCAGGTCATGATCCTCGAGTCCTGGGATCGAGTTACGCATCAGGCTCCCTGCTCAGCAGGGAGTCTGCTTCTCCCTCTGACCCTCTCCCTCTCAAGCTCGCTCTCTCTCTCTCTCTCTCTCTCAAATAAATAAATAAAATCTTTAAACAAAAAAACCAAGGAACCTTCTAATTCTGATTTGGTGTCTCCCCTTCATTTATTAAGTACCTGCTACATGCCAGGCACTGTTACAGGTTCTGGATTCACAGTACTGAGCAAGACAGTAAACATTCTTGTGGCAAAGATTCATACTAAGCATACAAATTAGTATATAATATAATGTCGCATAGTGATAAGGGTTTTGAGACACATAAAGCAAGAGTAAAGGGGGTGCTATTTAGATATCTATAGACTTTTGCCTTTGTTTTATTCCCCCATATGGATATCTGTGGAGAGAACATTCCAGGCAAGTTCAAAAGCCCTGAGGAGCTACTGTGCGTGGCGTGTTGGGAAGAAAGTTTATGTGGCCAGAGAATAGCAGGGTGTGCAGTTGGAGAGGCAGCTAGAGCGACCATGGGAACTGGGAGCCTCTCCTGAGATGAAGCCTTTGGAGGACTTTGAACTGAGAGTTAACATCATCAGATCCATGTTGTATGTGCAGTGTGGAGAGTTGTCCGTGAGGGACAAAACTAGAAACAAAAGTCCAGTCAGGAGACCCTGACAACCGTCTAGGAGAAGTGATAGTGGCATGAACTAGGGTGGTAGCAGTGGAGGTTCTGAGATATTGTAACACTCATTATGGATTTTCAAAGTCGAGTAGAAAAGATTAGATGTATAGAGAAAGAGAAGGAACGAGGATGATTCCTGAGTTTTCCACTGAGCAACTGAATGAATCGGTACCTTTCACTATGATGGGGAGAATTGTACGAAACCACATTTTCAGAGGTACATATCAAGAGTTCCGTTTTGACCATGTTAAGCTTGGGTGCCTATTAGATGTGCAAGTGGAGGTGTTGAGTAGGCGTTTGGGTTAACAAGTCAACAAGTTGAGCATTCAGCTCAAGAAGCTATAAAAGAGGGGTACCTGGGGGGCTCAGTCAGTTAAGTGTATGACTTCAGCTCAGGTCATGATTTCAGGGTCCTGGGATAGAGCCCCACACGTCAGGATTCATGCTCAGCCAGGAGTCTCCTTTTCCCTCTGCTCCTCCCCCTGCTTGTGCTTTCTCCCAAATGTGTGTGATCTTGCTCTCTTTCTCTCTCAAATAAATAAATAAAATCTTAAAAAAAAGAAAAGAAACTATAAAAAGAAACAGCAGAGTAAACCTGGAGAAAATAGGAAGACAATTAAGGATGAATAGAAAGGATGAAACAGAAACGAATGATAGGATTGGAACATCAAAAGCTGATTCTTTGAAAAGCTGAAAAGCAAAAGCCAGCCCTTTAAGAACCTAAATATAAAGAGAGGAAAGACAAATTATATTAGAAATGAAAAAGAGATGCAACCACAGATATATAGATTATACAATAGGTAGTAGATAAGACATAAAATTTTAAAAGGATATTATAAACAACTGTATGGCAGAAAATTGGAAAACATAAACAAAATGAACAAATTCCTAGAAAAGCAAAGCTTACCAAAACTGACCCTAGAAACATAAAACCTGGATAGACCCTCTATAACCACAAAGAAATTGACTATGTATCTTAAAAATCTACCCCCTGCCAAACAAACAAAAAAGGCTTGGAGAGCTTTGCAGTTGAAGTCTACCAAATTATTAATGAATGGGTAATTCCAACCATACACAGAAAAAAAAACTCTCCAAACATATTTTATGAGACTAATATAACTACTATAATGAACCAATGAAAGTATGCTATAGGATATGTTAGATAGATGTAAAAATGCTAGACAAATAAACTGAATCCAGCAGATTATAATTATATTTCATAACCAAGTTGAAATTTATGCTAAGAATGCAAGGATGGTTTAAAATTAGAAATCAGGGGCGCCTGGGTGGCTCAGTAGGTTAAGCCTCTGCCTTCAGCTCAGGTCATGATCTCAGGGTCCTGGGATCGAGCCCCGCGTCGGGCTCTCTGCTCAGCACTGAGCCTGCTTCCTCCTCTCTCTGCCTGCCTCTCTGCCTACTTGTGATCTCTCTCTCTCC